ATGTCTAGTGAGGGTAATATTATTCTTATGGTTCATTGGAATGGCTCTACATCTCAAAAAGATGATGAAATAGAGTACTCCATACCTCCTAGGGCTGTACTATTCATTAGTGAAGGAGATGATTATACTACTATACATGAAAATGTTCTCAATCATGTTAGACGCGACGGATTTTCCGAAATTAAATTAATTTACGGAAAATTGCCGAAATATAAGAATTCGGTATATGTTGCTTCTAGATTATGGCCCATTCATGATGAGCGAACATGGCGTCATTTTTTCCGGATTGCCACAAATGAGTATGAGGAGTTGCACATTTACGTGGAAGCTTCAGCGACCCCGCCACAAAATTTGACGTTCCACGGAACTGCTGGAGTGGAAGGCCCATCATCAAGTCGGAGGAACAACCGCCAATCGTTTCAGAACCAGGAAACTCCCGGTATGTATAGTTCTATTTAATTTAGTAATTTGTAAATGTTTTACTTTAGATTGTTAAATTGGAATTTTAGAGTTAAATGATTATATAGCTTAAATAAATATGATAGGACAAATTAATAACCTATATTATATTTTTATTAAATGCATAGCACTTTTGCAACTAATGTGAGAAGACGTAATATAAGCTCACTTGTGCAACCGTCTCTTTTTCATTCATTTAAATAACTTATTTAGGCTATTTGTTTAATTTATACAAATATATGACACATACTTAATTGCACATATTTAAAGTGGTATATACACCCAAATATTCCATATATATCTCTTTAACTTATAATTTGCCTTAATTAGTTTTTTTAGGAACGTAGAAGTAGTAGATTTAGTAATTTGTAAATGTTTTTAAATTTATTTGTTAAATTTGAATTTTAGGGGTAAATTTAGCTATAAAATACTTGAAAGTTAGAAAGAGTGTTAAAATTAGAATTGAACTTAAATTTTGGTTGTAGGACTATAGACGTAGTTCATTTAGCAATTTGTAAATGTTTTCATTTAGATTGTTAAATTGTAATTTTAGAGTTAAATTTGACTATAAATTACTTGAAAGTTAGAAAATGTGTTAAATTGAGAATTTGCCTTAACTTTGCTTTTACGAGTATAGTTAATTTGGTAATTTTTAATTTTGTTTTAAATTTTTATTTGAGAAATTGGAATTTTAATTTAGTGTATAATATTATTCTTAATTTAATATGTGTACAAATTCATTAATGTCTTTAATGTAAATAATATGGAGTATTATGGTGTGGAAACTATAATTGATGTGGGATTTCACAAATTTAGATTTTTTAATGTAAAAAAAATCGTTTTTAATCCTTATTTAACACATTAAAAATATCTCTTAAATAAAAAATGTAAATGTCTTTTTTAGTGCAAACGATATTTAATTTAACATAAATAAAAAATAAATTTTAATCCTGTCGGAATGCTCAAATCCGACTGGGAGTTTAAAAAAAAGGAAAACTCTAGTCGGATAGGTTAATTCCGACTAGAGGGTGTTTTTTTGGAAATATTTAGTTTTATTTTTAAAAACTATATATATTAAATTTTATATATTACATTTTTTATTAAAAACTATATTTTTTATTCGAGAAAAATTTGATTTTGTTTAGAAGTACTCCGTATTTATTTTAGTAATTTTGAACTCATTGATTTAGATAAAACAGACATTTTATAATATAACTCGGTTAAACAAAATCTAACACATTTAGTCATATGAATTCATTCAGATTCAGGTGAAGAGTTGACGACCCAGACTATGAACAAGGTTTTTGTAGTGATGTCGATACAACCACGAGGGATGGTAATGACGAGACAGTAGACCCCACCTGGGCCAATCTAGAGCTAGAAGAACCATATGAGCTTGATTCTGAGCCTGAAAGGATCGAAGTCGGCGCAGTTTACCCTTCATATGATGCACTAAAAGAAGCGGTGGCGAGAGAAAACATTCGTCAGTTTCGTCAATTCCAATCGGTTGACAAAAGGGCACGGTCCTGGAAGGCGGTTTGCATAAACCCGACCATTTGCACTTGGCATATCCAAGCAGCAGCAGGTATGACTTCAACAAAGTGGAAAGTCAAAAAATATCAACCCCATCACAGTTGTAGGGAGGATCCTGTCACGGCTCGGGATGATAAGATCCTAACAGCCAAGCTCATAGCGAGTGAAATCGCTCCAAAAGTGAAAGTTGACCCAGACTACAGCATTAAACTGATAATGTCAGACATATATCAAAAATTTGATATCCATGTTTCATATAAAAAAGCTTGGAATGGACGCTTGATCGCTCTGGAGCGTAAATTCGGCAATTGGGAGGCGTCATATAATGAACTTCCTATGTTGTTGGAAGCTATACAGTTTTCAAATCCGGGAACTGTTGTTCATTTGCAATCACAACAGACTGGCACTCCTGATACGTCCGAATTCCGCCGAGTGTTCTGGTCATTCAAAGCTTCTATAGACGGTTTCAGGTTTTGCTTACCCGTAGTCTCGGTGGATGGCACTCACTTATATGGCAAATACAAGGGGGTTCTTCTAGTTGCGGTAGCCATGAACGCTAACCGTGAGATATTTCCTCTTGCATATGCTGTTGTTGAAAGTGAGAATGCTGACAGTTGGTCGTGGTTCTTTGCAAGGGTTATGCGTGATGTGGTTGGAAGTCGTCGTAGTGTGTGCATTATCTCCGATCGTCATGCAGGAATTGAAAGTGCATTTAGATCCTTGCCGGAGTTGAGATCGCCACAGGTTTCGAAGCGTTATTGCCTCCGTCACATACGGAGTAATTTCATGACCAAGTTTAGAAACACGGAACTGAAAAAATTATGTTGGCAAGCTGGTAGCACTCCCACAGAACAGGAATTTCACGACTGTATGGAACAAATACGAGGCATAAATGAGAGTGCCTTTTTATATTTGAATGAGATTCCTGTTGAGATGTGGGCCCTGAGCTACGATGATGGCAAAAGATATGGCATTTTAACGACAAACCTTTCTGAAAGTTTTAACAATGTCTTAAAGGGATGTCGCACATTGCCTATCACAGCACTGGTAAAGGCCACGTTCGATAAAGTCGTCCAGCTATTTGCCAATCGACGACATGCGGGACTAATGTGGCACCAAGCTGGATTCTTGTATCCACAGAACATATGGAAGGTTGTTCTTGAGCGGTCACAGCGTAGGTATCACACAACTATTGTCCCGCACAATCGAACAACGGGAATTTACTCTGTAGCTATTAGTGAACATGATCCAGTCACAATCGATCTGTCAAGGCAGGAATGTGGGTGCGGGTATTGGAAGCAGAATGGGCTGCCATGTGTTCACGCGTATGCGGTTTGTCGGTTTCTAAAAATAACCGTTGACGGCCTCATCCCAGATGTGTATTCCTTAAATGCGTACATCCGGACATACGCTTCTGATATTATGCCTATTAATAATTACGTCAATGTCATGGCAGAAACACCGCATACACTTCTCCCGCCCACAAACAGCAGATCAGCTGGAGTCGGAAGGCCACAGAGAACTCGATTTCCCAATGAAATGGATTTCCGTGCGATAGGGAGAGGAAATGAGTGATATTGTAATGTATACATTGTTAGTAATGAAATATTTGTTCTCTTTTTTGGGGCTTACTAATTCTATATGAACTTTTTGTTAACATAAATTCCATGAGATAAATTTAATCAAATAAATTTAAACAGATAAAATGAATGAGATAAAATGTAATAAAATAATTTCAATAAGATAAAATGTAATCTGATAAATATAATCTTATTAATCAGATAAAATGTAATCTGATAAATGGATTTGCGTGCTACGGGTAGAGGAAATGAGTAATATTGTAATGTATACGTTTCTGGATTTTTTGTTTTGCATCCAATTAGTAATGATCTGTTTCTTCTCTTTTTCGAATCTGTTTCATTGTATCTGACATTTTGGTTCACATAAATTCCATCAGATAAATTAAATTTTGTACGATGCCGTATAAATTCAAATAAAAATAATCAGATAAAATCAAGCAGATAAAATTTTATCTGATAAAATTAATCAGATAAAATAAGATCAAATTTAATGAGATAAATATATCACATAAATTTTACGTAATAATAGAGAAAGAATATCAATTAATTAATAACTTAATACTCCTACCTAACTATCTGTCGGCAAAGAAACACATGCATCCACAAACAAACACATTCATCCAATAAACAACTGGGAGGAATCCTTTCCTTTTCAGCTTTAATCACGTGAGCAACCTTTTCTCACAATCCTTTTCTTATCAGATAAAAACTTCTCGGTAACCTAAAATATTGAATACACTTTATTACTACCTAACACATTAGTTTGAATCCTAATCCTAGCCGTTCCTTAGACCTACGCGGATCACAATCGGGTGGATCTCTCGCTCCCCTTCTGGTCGGAACTCCCAAATCCGACTGCAGGAATCTTCTTTAATGCCCACCCTCCAGTCGGAACTGCCAAATCCGACTGGACTATTTTTTTTTTATTTTCTCCCGCTTATAAATATAGCTGCTATCAACCTTATATTTTTATTACACTTAAGTTTTATATATAATCATTAGTATATAAAATTGTGTTACATTTAGAATTTGAGTTGAAAACCTGTGAATTAATAAATTGTGTTAAATTTAGATTTAGAGTTCAATTTCGAAATTAGTAATTTATAACTACTTATTTCAGGAATTTCAAATGGACCAAAACACTCCGCGCCCAGGGCCTGTTAACTGTTCACTACTCACGTTGCCACTGCGTGCCCACCGTGCTGATCGTGTATGGTATGAACCAGATTCCAAAGACTTGAGCTTGAAATGCGTGAATTGCCCTTCAGCTGCATTCGGAGATGAGAAGCGAGATGAAAGGGTGATAAATATGTTAGCTTATGCTGGGTTCATGGGGGTAGAACACATTGCCCGTATGAAGGTGGATCATAGTTTAATATGCGCTTTGGTGGAGAGATGGAGGCCGGAGACACATACTTTCCATCTTCCATTCGGTGAGGTTGGCATTGGTCTACAAGATGTGGCGATGATACTTGGTTTGCCCATTCGAGGTATGCCCCTTAGTGGTCCTACCATTAAGGATAAGGCTCAGTGGATCAACCTGTGCACGCAGTCGTGTGGATTCACTCCTCTAGAGACTGATATGCGCACGAGTGATATCACCATGAGTGCTGTTACCCGTCACCGGATTATACCTGACAGTACAGACGAGGAGGTCACCCAACACACCAGGACCCTAATATGGCAATTGCTTGGAGGGTTTTTGTTCCCTGACACGAGTGGGTCAAGAATACGATTGTACTTTTTGGAAGTCTTGCAGGGTGACTTGGCTTTAGCCCGTCGATGGAGTTGGGGATCGGCGGTTCTCGGGTACCTCTACCGTAACTTGTGTAACGGCGCCAAGTGGGACACCAAACAAGTTGGCGGCTGTATGCACTTGTTACAGATTTGGGCTTGGTCGAGGATTTCAATGTTACGTCCCAAAGTACTTCAGGTCATTCAACATGACCATCTTCCATATGGGTGCAAGTATGTTGCCAATTACATCTTAATATTTTACAATGTTTTATATGACGTTACATTTTTTAACTTCATATCGCTAAAAAACAAATGTAGGTGGATCGTCCCCAAATCATTTAAGGGATCCCCGAGACATTGCATACGCTTGTACCGGGATAACCTAGACCGCATGAGTGAGAGTCAGGTAGTACTAGAAATTTTTACTTCAACTGCACTATTTAATTTTCAATACACATTGTTTTATAGTTCTTAAATTGTAAATTAAACTTTTTACAGTTTGATTTCATTCCCTACGCATTCGAGACACTTCCACCTCTCATCCTTAATGAAGCTCCGCTTTGGTCGGCTAGGGTTAAGCTCATATTTTGCAATATGGCCGAAATGCATTACCCCGATCGATTTCTTCGGCAGTTCCATATAAGGCAAGATATTCCGGATGCTCCTTTTATAGGTACTGATAATCACGGAAATTGTTCCAACATAGTAACCGGTGCCTTGGCGATGTGGGCGAACATACAAGATCACATATATTTTCTTGATTATGGTCAACTTATGTTCGTCGAAGCAACTAATAGGTACCGAAAATGGTACAACAAGCATGGTATGACACGTGTCCAGAACCCTTCTCACAATGTGCCCACGACAGGCTACACCCCGACAGCACACGATTGGGGTATTGTGGTAAGTTTTTGAATACATACCATATTCATTAACATATATCGTGTCATATTGTTTACATGTTAAAAATTTTTATGTAGAAACAAGGTGTTCACGAGATGTATCAGCTCATAGCCGATCGCGCGAGTTATGAGGACTTACACAAACGACTACAGCAGATGGCCCTGGACGTAGGTGATGAACAGATGCTCCACCGGGGCATATTCCATTATGAAGATGAAGATGAAGGTGGAATTGACGAAGAGGATGATGCAGATGAACATGAAGGTGGGGGTGAGGACTCACCATCGCTCCCTCAATTCTCAACACATGGTGTCTCATTTGATCAACCACCCCCTAATTTCTCGACGCATCAAGGTGTCACATTTGATCAACCACCGCCGTATTATGATTCTTATCAGATCTCTACGCAACCGGATGATTTTGTTGAGTCGTTTTTGAGTTCGTCATTTTACTATGGAGACCCAAACAGGCCTTGGAACACTGGCGGTGGGGACGGAGCAGGGCCGAGCGCACAACGTTAGCTGTAGTATTAAATTTAATATTATATGTACTGTCTATTCATTAATAAATTACATTGAAAAGTACATTCGTTTTGTTCACTTCCATTGAAATTACTAAAATTGCACTTAAAACACCATCGTAGTAGTACCTAATTTGAAGAATGAATTAAATCAAAATTACACTTCAAATTACTAAAATTGCAATTAAAACAAAATTCACAATACAGATGGATTAAAAAACAATATAAAGCAATCAAATGTTTTGTTACTCAAAAAATAAATGTGCTAAGTTTTCATTTTTAAAAATATCTAAAGAATCTAGAAAAAACTGTTTAAAACTAGTTTTTAAAACTCAAAATAAAAAAAAATACTTAAAACGGACGTGCCCCACTCAAAATAAAAAAACCGCAAAAAAAAAAAAAAAATATATTCCAGTCGGAATTGGGGAATCCGACTGGAGGGGGAAGCTTTTTTTCGAAAACCCTAGCACCTAGTCGGAACTCTCAATTCCGACTTACGTTTTTTAGTAAACCCTAGCAAAACCCCCGTTTTTTGGCAAGCCCAGCACATCTTTCCCGTCTTTCGGTAAAACCCCCATATAACCCCCTTTATTCCCTTACTCTTTTTCTTGCTTCTTCCCACTCCATCTTTATACCGCCATCCCCGCCGAGCACTGCCGGCATCACCATTGGCGTCGAGCTCTGCCGCCACATTCTCCGTCGCCGTCTGGTTGCCATTGAAGAAGATCTATGGTTTTCGTCGGGTTTGAGTTGGGTTGCCTTCTCCGGCCATGAAAAAAAGGGATAGAAGGTTGAGTGGAGTAGAAGAAGTGGATTGGAGAAGAGAAAAAGGAAGAGGAAAAAGAAAGAAATGGGAAAGGAGAAGGGGGTGGGCAAGATTGCAAGAATAGAGGGGAGGTTGAAATGTTGAATTGGGTGGGGGGCGTGGGGTAAAAGCAGTGGAGATCGAAGAAGAAGAGGTTGAAGAATAGGGGAGAGGGGTTGCAGGGAGATTGGAGAAGAAGGGGGAAAAAGAAAAAAGGGAATGAAGAGGGAAGAGGGGGGGGGGGGGAGAGAATAATGAAAAAAAAGGAAAAAGTATAAAAAAGCCTAATTGGCTTACACATCAGCAAAAATATGGGTCACTGGTTGTTCACCGATCAAATGGCAAATTTGATTAAAATTTGAGGCTTTGTGTACCCAATTGATTGAAAAAATAGTACATAGACTCAATTGACTTTTTCAATATAGTATGTGGACTCATTTGACAGTTTTCCCATTTAAAAAAACTTACAAAATGAGTATCGAAATATTTAAAAAATCATTTAGGTATGTTTATTCCTTTTAGGCGTATACCCATTTGAGTTTAATATAAAACACATTTGACAAAACCATTGTTAGGTGGCTTATCTTATATCTAAAAGCACTATATATCCGCTCAATTGTTAGTTTGATTTTCTTATCTTACTTATACTTAAAATAACTACATATTAGTGAGAAAGTTCCCCCATTCAATTGTTAATTACCAAGCTTATCTTCTACTCTGTAGTACTACTTAAATGCACTCCAATTGTTAGTCGTTTATCTTATACCTAAAAGTATTCCACATGAGAGAGAAATTAGGTCACTCAATTGTTAGTCAGTTTATCTTATACTTAAAAACACAACTATGAGAGAGAAAATTATCTCACTCAATTGTTAGAGGGCTTATCTTATACCTAAAATCATTTTTGGATTTAAAACAACCCGAAAATGATAAATCAATATTTTGGTATATTTTTTTTATAAAAATTAGAGCGAAATAAAAAAAGTTATAGCACTATGACTTTTAAAAAATACGTATTATAACTTTATATTTCTTACTACTTTATATTTCTTAATACTTTCTATACATAATTTAAAAATACTCCAAGCTTTGTTAGGATGCAGTTAACATTCTAAAATTTCATTTGTAAAATAAGTAATATTTCATCCGATACAATTTAATTTCAATTGTATGGTCATAGATGTTTTGTGTATTTTAAATTATGTACTCCATCCGTCCCGAAATTAACTCCTCATTCACTATTCATTGGTCAACTTAAATCACTTCTAATCTTTTACTTTATATATCAAACTTTTATCAAATTCAAATTTTCTTGATCAGGCTTTGTAGCGGTTTTAATGTAGTTTCTGAATATGTAAATTTTATTTACTAAAAATAATCTGAGTGTAAACATGGATCGAGTTGCTTTATCGTCAGTCAAACATCGTAAACCGAACGGGAAGTTGTTTCAGGGACGGAGGTAGTACTTAATACCAAAAAATTATATTTGTGAAAAAATAGATGATCATGGTACTAATATAACTTTTTAGTATATTTGTAATGTTATTTAGAGCCTGTTCAGTAACACATAAAATGACTGAATCTATTGAGATTGTTGAAGTTCTTGCTGAAACCATTGAAATGGCGGGATATAGTGAATTATGGAAAATTTGATTTGAAAACATATTTTATTTTTAAAATAAAAACATTTATCTGAAAAAGTAGCTACAATTTTGGTTTATAACACAATTCAGGCATAACATTAACTTGAAGCTTTCTTATTTTGATCATAACACAATTCAACTCGCGAAAATAAAATTTAAGTATTTGATGAAAAATTGACTGAATTTGTCCATTATCCTTTTTTGAAAATCTATTTATATTGAGTGTTATAACCTTTTCATCTAAACTCCAACTTTACAAAACATATTAAAATTCATCATTGTTGTAACATTTCATATGACAATAATATTGCATACCCCCTCCGTCCCCTTTTAAATGGGACGGGAGATTGTGGCACGAGTTTTAAGAAAAGTGAGTTTGTGTGGTTGATATTAATTGATAAAGTAAGAATAAAGTAAGAATGATTTTGAGCCACACAAACTTTACCAAATATGGTATGGGGCAATTAAATAAGGACATCCCAATATGGTAAAACGGGACATTTAAAAGGGGACGGAGGGAGTATAATTTTTTTTGATTATTTAATAAACAACTTCATGTTTTTCAATCACAATATAAATTTAAACGTAATTATAAATAATTAATTTGATGTGTTTCTTATGAGTATACTTTTATAGTCACTATGATATAATTTTAAACATAATTATAAATAGGTTACTTAATAAACCTTAAGATTTTTTATTATTATTTTATATGCAATATTGGTCTCATATGAAAGATCATAAAAAGTTATGAATTTTGCTATATGTTTTTTAAAAATTAGAGTAATTATGAAAAAGTTATGACATTTTAAAGAAAATGGGTGTTTTATATGATGGGCCCCATCAATTATAATAATATATTTCTCCCCAAGCCTACATTTCCTTGTTGGTGCATATAGTTCGGTTCTCTTATTAATAGAATTAGCCACATGGCATCTTTATAGCAAATGAGCAAAATGTGGAGAGAAGGACACATAGGATTAATGAAGGGTGTAATTGTCTTTTACAGAGCTATTTCTTTTCTTATATATATATAAATAGATGTTCATTTCGCAAGTTACATATGGTCATTTGGTATTAATATTATGTTCATTTTAAAATGTCATATCAATGTATATTTTAAAATTATTATACTACTGTTGATGTTTATTCCTTCAACCTTTGGGTCCAACACGTAAGCCCAAAGATTTCGAGTGGATTGTTTATGTATGAGTGAATAACTGATCCAATATTATTAATATCCAATATTGTTAAGCAAGTAAGATGGGCTAAGAAAGTGATAAACAAGTAAAAGTTCAGATATTATTAATCTCTAATAAACCCCCGATGCATTACGCTTGCTAAGGTCGAAGGCCGTTCGTCTTACACCTCAGTAGAAGAGCTGCGAATGAGGTGGAAAGAGCTGAAAGTAAGCTAGATAATTTCAAAACAGAAGTAAAAATTAACGGGCCTGACCTGTGAATGAAAAGGTATCCATATTATTTAAATTTTTTGTATGGATTTCATTGTTTTTTATTATTTTTTAAAAAAAAAATAGTTTTTTGTTAATTTTTTAATTTTAAAAATATTTTTTGTACGTTTTTTAATTTTTTTTTAACGATTTTTACTATTTTTAAGATTTTATTATGAATTATAACATTTTATTATGAAATAATACCCTTAGGGGCATTTCTGGTAGGAATGAATTGTTTAGCCCTATTTTGGATGGTAAAAAATGCAGTGGTCCTATTTGTGCATTTTTAGTTAGTTTTAGTCTTACATGGAGCAATTACTAAAGACTTTTTTAATGTAGGGAGATCCATTTCTGTTAATGATCGCTAGAATGTCAATTATGTATTCAATTTAGGGGTAATTTAAGCTTGTAGCCTATATTATTGTTCAAATTGGACTTTGCACCCCGTTTTTATAAGTCTTTATTTTTGCACCCCAACTATGAAAAAACAAAAATGCCCCTCCATTAAAAATTTCGTTGACCTTCAATATATTCTTAATCAAGGGGCATTTTTGTCTTTTCGTATGGGGTTGGGGTGCAAAAACAAAGATTTTTAAAAACGGGATGCAAAGTCCAATTTAGACAATAAAATGGGGTGCAAAATCAAATTATCCCTTCAATAATATGTTTCATATTATGAAACATGATTTTAGAACAACACCGGATGGCATAACCAAACGGCAAATTCAAAGTCCAATTTAGACAATAAAATGAGATGCAAAGTTTTTGTGGTACATATACACAAGTATGTACCAATTTAGACAATCATGCTTTTGTTTTTTGTGGGTACAATTATTGGTAAGCTAAGTGATCGACCACAAGATCAATTAAAAGATTGCGTCTAATTGCAAATCCTCTTCACGTTCGCAAAATACCATATACACAAGTAAGTCCGCGTTTGGATTACAGGAAAACGACAACTGAAAACGTAGACACGTTTTTTCTAGATTCAGTCCAGACATGAACTAATAATTGAAAAGTTCTGGGGTTCCAAATAAAGGCGTAGGCGCCACAGGCAATTGCCGGTTTCCGAGGAAGATGTAATATTGCTGGGTCACATACACAATTAATTTAGATAGAAAATATGGATTACAAAATTTTATAGCAGATTTTTGTTAGTTTTCTCACCCTTCTAGGAAACACATCAAAATAACTCTCAGCTCATGTTAATTTTCACTCGACAAGAAAATAGTGTGTTGTACAGGAAAAACTATAATGAAATAATGATAATAAAAATAAAGTTGAATATACGGAGTATGTTATACTTTATGTCTTTTGTTTTTGCTCGAAGAGATTAATTCATAGAAATAGTATTCAGCAAGGGTACAAAATTTGAAAAGAATCACATATAACCATCCGCCCGTGACCAAGACCGAGAGTTAACCACCTGAAAAAAAGCAGTATAACTCGCTTGACAAAAATTGGGCAACTTAAAGCCAATGACGGTTACCGCAGACTTTCCATCCCTCAAACCTAATGCAAGAGTCTTACAAGGAGTGAAAACACAAAAGAAAAGCAGAACATAGCATCCGAAAATAGAATAAAATAAACAGACAATAAAAACAACACCATCCCTTGTATTCTTCACCAGCACCACCATATGAAAACACGGCGGGTCTAAGAGACTTGACCCGTCGCCACCCCATTTTTTGGCTCATCCAGAGCCATTTCTTCACCAGTGACACCCTCTTTGGTCTGACTATCCCATATCCTTCTGCGCTTTGTATCTCCAGTAGTCTCTTCTTTGTCTTCTGTCCCGTGCTGTGACGGCCTGCTAGACTTTGACTCAGCCGAAAATTCTCCCCCGAGATTAGACTTCCGCTGAGCACCATATCCATCTGAACTAGAAGCTCCATCAGATAACCATTTGTTGGATCCTGTAGGGCTTGTCTTCACCCTTCCTCCTGCTCTCAGACTCACCCCATAGGTTTTTCCAGCTACAAAGCCCTCTTCATACTTCAATGGACAGAATTTATCAGAATGTCTGATTATACCACAGATAAAACAAAAGCTAGGTAGTTTTTCATAGTTCAAATCCACCCAATGCTTCACCCCATC